TTAACCTTAACCCTAGCTCTAACCCTAGCCCTAACCCTTTAACTAGCCTTAACCCTAACCCTAACCCTAACGGTAAACCCAAACCCTAAACCTAACCTTAATACTAAACCTAAATCTAACCTAAACACTAGATCTAACCCTGACCTTAACCATTAAGCTAAACTTAACCCTATCCCTATCCCTATCTCTAGCCCTATCCCTAACCCTAACTCGAAACCCTATCCCTAACCCTAACTCTAAACCCTAACCCTAACCCAAACCGTAACCCTAAACAAAACCTCATCTAAACCCTAGCCCTAATCCTAATTCTAAACTTAACCCTAGCTCTAACCCTAACCCTAACTCTAGCCCTAACCTTTATCCTAACACTAACCCTAAGCATAAACCTAAACCTAACCTTAACCCTAGCCCTAACACTAACCTTAACCCTAACCCTAACCCTATCGTTAACTCTAACCCTAATCCTAACCCTGACCCTAACACTAACCCTAACCCTACCCTAACCCTAATCCTAATCCTAATCCTAATCCTAATCCTAACCCTAACTCTAACGCCAAAACTAACCATAACCCTAGCTTTAACCATAACTCTAACTCTAACCGTAACCCTAACCCTAACCCTAACCCTAACCCTAACCCTAACCCTAACCCTAACCCTAACCCTAACCCTAACCCTAACCCTAACCCTAACCCTAACCCTAACTTTAACCCTAACCCTAACCCTAACCCTAACCCTAACTTTAACCCTAACCCTAACCCTAACCCTAACCCTAACTTTAACCCTAACCCTAACCCTAACCCTAACATATAACCTAGCTCTAACCCTAACCCTATCCTTAACCCTAACCCTAGCCAGAGCTTTTATCCTAGCTCTAATCCTAATCCTAACTTTAACCCTAACTTTAACCCTAACCATAACCCTTACCCTAACCCTAACCCTAACCCTAGCTCTAACCCTAACCCTTATCCTAACCCTAACACTAACCCTAAACCTAACATATAACCTAGCCCTAACCCTAACCCTATCCTTAGCCCTAACCCTAGCCAGAGCTTTTATCCTAGCTCTAATCCTAATCCTAACCCTAACGCTAACCGTAACCGTAACCCTAAACCTAACCCTAACACTTACCCTAATCTTAACCTATAGCCCTAGCCCTAACCCTATCCTTAGCCCTAACCCTAGCCCGAGCTCTTATCCTAGCTCTAATCCTAATCCTAACCTTAATGCTATCCATAACCCTAACTCTAAACCCTAACCCTAACCCAAACTGTAACCCTAAACCGAAACCTCATCTAAACCCTAGCCCAAATCCTAATTCTTAACCTATCCCTAGCTCTAAACCTAACCCTAACTCTAGCCATAACTTTTATCCTAACACTAACCCTAAGCATAAACCTAAACCTAACCTTAACCCTAGCCTTAACCCAAACCCTAATCCTAAACCTCATCTAAACACTAGCCCTAGCCCTTACCCTAACCTTAACTCTAGCCCTAACCCTAATCCTAACCAAAACCCTAACCAAAACCCTAACCATAACCCTAACCCTAACCCTAACTCTAAACCTAACCTTAACCTTAATCCGAACCTTAACCTTAACCCCAACCCTAACCCTAACCCTAATTTTAACCCTAACCCTAACCCATAACCCTAACCCTAACCCTAAACCCAACCATAACCCTAGCCCCAATCCTAACTCTAACCCTAACCTTAACCCTAATCTTTAACCCTAACCCTAACCCTAACCCTAACCTTAACCCTAACCTTAACCCTAACCCTAACCCTAACCCTAACCCTAACCCTCAACCCTAACCCTAACCCTCACCCTAACCCTAACTCTAACTCTAACCCTAACCCTAACTCTAACCTTAACCCTAACCCTAACCCTAACCCTACATCCTAACCCTAACCCTAACCCTAACCCTAACCCTAACCCTAACCCTAACCCTAACCCTAACCCTAACCCTAACCCTAACCCTAACCCTAAACCTAGCCCTAACCTTAAACCTAACCCTAAACCTAACCATAACCCTAACCCTAATCTTAACCTTAAGCCTAGCTCTAACCCTCGCCCTAACCCTAATACTAGCACTAACCCTAACCTAAACCCTAACCTAAACCCTAACCCTAAACATAAACTAAACCCTAACCCTAGCTCAAGCTCTTACACTAGCTCCAATCCTAATCCTAAACCTAACCCTAACTCTAACGCTTACCCTAACCTTAGCTCTAATCATAACACTAACCTTAACCCTAGCCTTAAACCTAACCATGACCATAATCCTAACCTTTATCTTAACATTAACCCTAACCATAATCGTAGCCATATTCCTATCCCTATTTCTAACCCAAACCCTAACTCTAACCATAATCCTAGCCCTATCCTTATCCCTAACCCTATCCTTAGCCCTAACCCTAGCCCGAGCTCTTACCCTAGCTCTAATCCTAAACCTAACCTTAACGCTATCCATAACCCTAACTCTAAACCCTAACCCTAACCCAAACTGTAACCCTAAACCGAAACCTCATCTAAACCCTAGCCCAAATCCTAATTCTTAACCTAACCCTAGCTCTAAACCTAACCCTAACTCTAGCCATAACTTTTATCCTAACACTAACCCTAAGCATAAACCTAAACCTAACCTTAATTCTAGCCCTAACCCAAACCCTAATCCTAAACCTCATCTAAACCCTAGCCCTAGCCCTTACCCTAACCTAACTCTAGCCCTAACCCTAATCCTAACCAAAACCATAACCAAAACCCTAACCTAAACCCTAACCCTAACTCTAACTCTAAACCTAACCTTAACCTTAACCCGAACCTTAAACTTAACCCGAACCCTAACCCTAACCCTAATCTTAACCCTAACCATAACCCATAACCCTAACCCTAACCCTAAACCTAACTGTAAACCCAACCATAACCCTAACCCTAACTCTAACCCTTACCCTAACCTTAACTCTAGCCCTAACCCTAATCCTAACCAAAACCCTAACCCTAACCCTAACCTAAAACCTAACCCTAACCCTAACCCTAACCCTAACCCTAACCCTAACCCTAACCCTAACCCTAACCCTAACCCTAACCCTAACCCTAACCCTAACCCTATCCCTAACCCTAACCCTAACCCTATCCCTAACCCTAACTCTAATCCTAACCCTAACCCTAACCTAAACCCTAATCCTAAACATAAACTAAACCCTAACCCTAGCTCGAGCTCTTACACTAGCTCCAATCCTAATCCTAATCCTAACCTTACCTCTAACGCTAACCCTAACCTTAGCTCTAACCATAACACTAACCTTAACCCTAGCCTTAAACCTAACCATGACCATAATCCTAACCCTTATCTTAACCCTAACCCTAACCATAATACTAGCCCTATCCCTATCCCTATCCCTAACCCAAACACTAACCCTAACCCTAACCCTAACCCTAAACCTAAACCTAAACCTAGCCCTAACCTTAAACCTAACCCTAAACCTAACCATAACCCTAGCCCTAATCTTAACCTTAACCCTAGCTCTAACCCTAGCCCTAACATTAATACTAGCTCTAACCCTCACCCTAACCTAAACCCTTAATATAAACATAAACTAAACCCTAACCCTAGCCCGAGCTCTTACACTAGCTCCAATCCTAATCCTAATCCTAACCCTTATCTTAACCCTAACCCTAACTCTAACCCTAAACCTAACCCTAAATTTAACGATAGCCTCTAACCCTAACGGTAAACCCAAACCCTAAACCTAACCCTAATACTAAACCTAAATCTAATCTAAACACTAGATCTAACCCTGACCTTAACCCTTAAGCTAAACTTAACCCTATCCCTATCCCTATCTCTAGCCCTATCCCTAACCCTAACTCTAAACCCTAACCCTAACCCAAACCGTAACCCTAAACCAAAACCTCATATAAACCCTAGCCCTAATCCTAATTCTAAACCTAACCCTAGCTCTAACCCTAACCCTAACTCTAGCCCTAACCTTTATCCTAACACTAACACTAAGCATAAACCTAAACCTAACCTTAACCCTAGCCCTAACTTTAACCTTAACCTTAACCCTAACCCTAACCCTAACCCTATCGTTAACTCTAACCTTAACCCTAACCCTGACACTAACACTAACCCTAACCTTACGCTAACCCTAATCCTAATCCTAATCCAAATCCTAATCCTAACCCTAACTCTAACGCCAAAATAAACCCTAACCCTAGCTTTAACCATAACTCTAACCCTAACCCTAACCCTAACCCTAACCCTAACCCTAACCCTAACCCTAACCCTAACCCTAACCCTTACCCTAACCCTAATCCTAAACCTCATCTAAACCTTAGCCCTAGCCCTAACCCTAACCTTAACTCTAGCCCTAACCCTAATCCTAACCCAAACCCTAACCCTAACCCTAACCCTAACCCTAACCCTAACCCTAACCCTAACCTTAACCTTAACCCTATCCCTAACCCTAACCCTAACCCTAACCCTAACCCTAAACCCTAACCCTAACCCCTAACCTAAACCCTAACGCTAAAGATAAACTAAACCCTAACCATAGCTCGAGCTCTTACACTAGCTCCAATCCTAATCCTAATCCTAACCCTAACTCTAACGCTAATCCTAACTTTATCTCTAACCATAACACTAACCTTAACCCTAGCCTTAAACCTAACCATGACCATAATCCTAACCCTTATCTTAACCCTAACCCTAACCATAATACTAGCCCTATCCCTATACCTATCTCTATCCCTAACCCAAACCCTAACCCTAACCCTAACCCTAACCCTAACCCTAACCCTAACCCTAACCCTAACTCCTAACCGTAACCCTAAGCCTAACCCTAAACCTAGCCCTAACCTTAAACCTAACCCTAAACCTAACCATAACCCTAGCCCTAATCTTAACCTTAACCCTAGCTGTAACCCTAGCCCTAACACTAATACTAGCTCTAACCCTAACCCTAACCCTAACCCTAACCCTAACACTAACCCTAACGCTAGCCTGAGCTCTTACCCTAGCTCTAATCTAAATCCTAACCCTAACCCTAATGCTAACCATAACCCTAGCTCTAACTCTAGCTCAAACCCTAGCCCTAACAGTAACCCTAGCTCTAACCCTAAACCTAATTCAAGCCCTAACCTTTATCCTAACACTAACCCTAAGCATAAACCTAAACCTAACCTTATCCCTAGCCCTAGCCCTAACCCTAACTCTAACCCTAACCCTAACCCTAACCCTAACCCTAACCCTAACCCTAACCCTAATCCTAAACCTCATCTAAACCTTAGCCCTAGCCCTAACCCTAATCCTAACCCAAACCCTAACCCTAACCCTAACCCTAACCCTAACCCTAACCCTAACCCTAACCCTAACCCTAACCCTAACCCTAACCCTAACCCTAACCCTAACCCTAACCCTAACCCTAACCCTAACCCTAACCCTAACCCTAACCCTAACCCTAACCCTAACCCTAACCCTAACCCTAACCCTAACCCAAACTTTAACCCTAACCTTAAACCTAACCCTAAACCTAACCATAACCCTAACCCTAATCTTAACCTTAAGCCTAGCTCTAACCTTGGCCCTAACCCTAATACTAGCACTAACCCTAACCCTAACCTAAACCCTAACCCTAAACATAAACTAAACCCTAACCCTAGCTCAAGCTCTTACACTAGCTCCAATCCTAATCCTAATCCTAACCCTAACTCTAACGCTAACCCTAACCTTAGCTCTAATCATAACACTAACCTTAACCCTAGCCTTAAACCTAACCATGACCATAATCCTAACCCTTATCTTAACCCTAACGCTAACCATAATCCTAGCCCTATCCCTATCCCTATCCTTAACCCAAACCCTAACCCTAACCCTAACCCTAAGCCTAACCATAAACCTAGCCCTAACCTTAAACCTAACCCTAAACCTAACCATAACCCTAGCCCAAATCTTAACCTTAACCCTAGCTCTAACCCTAGCCCTAACCCTTTAACTAGCCTTAACCCTAACCCTAAACATAAACTAAACGCTAACCCTAGCCCGAGCTCTTACACTAGCTCCAATATTAATCCTAATCCTAACCCTTATCTTAACCCTAACCCTAACTCTAACTATAAACCTAACCTTAAACTTAACGATAGCCTCTAACCCTAACGGTAAACCCAAACCCTAAACCTAACCCTAATACTAAACCTAAATCTAACCTAAACACTAGATCTAACCCTGACCTTAACCATTAAGCTAAACTTAACCCTATCCCTATCCCTATCTCTAGCCCTATCCCTAACCCTAACTCGAAACCCTATCCCTAACCCTAACTCTAAACCCTAACCCTAACCCAAACCGTAACCCTAAACCAAAACCTCATCTAAACCCTAGCCCTAATCCTAATTCTAAACTTAACCCTAGCTCTAACCCTAACCCTAACTCTAGCCCTAACCTTTATCCTAACACTAACCCTAAGCATAAACCTAAACCTAACCTTAACCCTAGCCCTAACACTAACCTTAACCCTAACCCTAACCCTATCGTTAACTCTAACCCTAATCCTAACCCTGACCCTAACACTAACCCTAACCCTACCCTAACCCTAATCCTAATCCTAATCCTAATCCTAACCCTAACTCTAACGCCAAAACTAACCATAACCCTAGCTTTAACCATAACTCTAACTCTAACCGTAACCCTAACCCTAACCCTAACCCTAACCCTAACCCTAACCCTAACCCTAACCCTAACCCTAACCCTAACCCTAACCCTAACCCTAACCCTAACCCTAACTTTAACCCTAACCCTAACCCTAACCCTAACTTTAACCCTAACCCTAACCCTAACCCTAACCCTAACTTTAACCCTAACCCTAACCCTAACATATAACCTAGCTCTAACCCTAACCCTATCCTTAACCCTAACCCTATCCTTAACCCTAACCCTAGCCAGAGCTTTTATCCTAGCTCTAATCCTAATCCTAACTTTAACCCTAACTTTAACCCTAACCCTAACCCTTACCCTAACCCTAACCCTAACCCTAGCTCTAACCCTAACCCTTATCCTAACCCTAACACTAACCCTAATCCTAACATATAACCTAGCCCTAACCCTAACCCTATCCTTAGCCCTAACCCTAGCCAGAGCTTTTATCCTAGCTCTAATCCTAATCCTAACCCTAACGCTAACCGCAACCGTAACCCTAAACCTAACGCTAACCCTAACACTAACCCTAATCTTAACCTATAGCCCTAGCCCTAACCCTATCCTTAGCCCTAACCCTAGCCCGAGCTCTTATCCTAGCTCTAATCCTAATCCTAACCTTAATGATATCCATAACCCTAACTCTAAACCCTAACCCTAACCCAAACTGTAACCCTAAACCGAAACCTCATCTAAACCCTAGCCCAAATCCTAATTCTTAACCTAACCCTAGCTCTAAACCTAACCCTAACTCTAGCCATAACTTTTATCCTAACACTAACCCTAAGCATAAACCTAAACCTAACCTTAACCCTAGCCCTAACCCAAACCCTAATCCTAAACCTCATCTAAACACTAGCCCTAGCCCTTACCCTAACCTTAACTCTAGCCCTAACCCTAATCCTAACCAAAACTCTAACCAAAACCCTAACCATAACCCTAACCCTAACCCTAACTCTAAACCTAACCTTAACCTTAATCCGAACCATAACCTTAACCCCAACCCTAACCCTAATTTTAACCCTAACCCTAACCCATAACCCTAACCCTAACCCTAAACCCAACCATAACCCTAGCCCCAATCCTAACTCTAACCCTAACCTTAACCCTAACTTTAACCCTAACCCTAACTCTAACCCTAACCCTAACCCTAACCCTAACCCTAACCCTAACCCTAACCCTAACCCTAATTTTAACCCTAACCCTAACCCATAACCCTAACCCTAACCCTAAACCCAACCATAACCCTAGCCCCAATCCTAACTCTAACCCTAACCTTAACCCTAACCTTAACCCTAACCCTAACCCTAACCCTAACCCTAACCCTAACCCTAACCCTAACCCTAACCCTAACCCTAACGCTAACTCTAACCCTAACCCTAACTCTAACCTTAACCCTAACCATAACCCTAACCCACATCCTAACCCTAACCCTAACCCTAACCCTAACCCTAACCCTAACCCTAAACCTAGCCCTAACCTTAAACCTAACCCTAAACCTAACCATAACCCTAACCCTAATCTTAACCTTAAGCCTAGCTCTAACCCTCGCCCTAACCCTAATACTAGCACTAACCCTAACCCTAACCTAAACCCTAACCTAAACCCTAACCCTAAACATAAACTAAACCCTAACCCTAGCTCAAGCTCTTACACTAGCTCCAATCCTAATCCTAAACCTAACCCTAACTCTAACGCTTACCCTAACCTTAGCTCTAATCATAACACTAACCTTAACCCTAGCCTTAAACCTAACCATGACCATAATCCTAACCTTTATCTTAACATTAACCCTAACCATAATCGTAGCCATATTCCTATCCCTATTTCTAACCCAAACCCTAACTCTAACCATAATCCTAGCCCTATCCTTATCCCTATCCCTATCCCTATCCCTATCCCTATCCCTATCCCTATCCCTATCCCTATCCCTATCCCTATCCCTATCCCTATCCCTATCCCTATCCCTATCCTTAACCCTAAACCTAACCCTAACCCTAAGCCTAACCATAAACCTAGCCCTAACCTTAAACCTAACCCCAAACCTAACCATAACCATAACCCTAGCCCAAATCTAAACCTTAACCCTAGCTCTAACCCTAGCCCTAACCCTAATACTAGCCCTAACCCTAACCTAAACCCTAACCCTAGCTCTAACCCTAGCCCTAACCCTAATACTAGCCCTAACCCTAACCTAAACCCTAACCCTAAACATAAACTAAACGCTAACCCTAGCCCGAGCTCTTACACTAGCTCCAATCCTAATCCTAATCCTAACCCTTATTTTAACCCTAACCCTAACTCTAACCCTAAACCTAACCCTAAACTTAACGATAGCCTTATCCCTAACCCTAACGGTAAACCCAAACCCTAAACCTAACCCTAATACTAAACCTAAATCGAACCTAAACACTAGATCTAACCCTGACCCTAAACCTTAAGCTAAACTTAACCCTATCCCTATAGCTATCTCTAGCCCTATCCATAACCCTAACTCTAAAACCTATCCCTAACCCTAAGTCTAAACCCTAACCCTAACCCAAACCGTAACCATACACCGAAACCTCATCTAAACACTAGCCCTAATCCTAATTCTAAACCTAACACTAGCTCTTACCGTAACCCTAACTTTAGCCCTAACCTTTATCCTAACACTAACCCTAAGCATAAACCTAAACCTAACCTTAACCCTAGCCCTAACTCTAACCCTAACCCTAACCCTAACCCTAACCCTAACCCTAATCCTAACCCTAACCCTAACCTTAACCCTAACCCTAACCCTAACCCTAATCCTAACCCTAACCCAAACCCTAACCCTAACCCTAACCCTAACCCTAACCCTTAACCCTAACCCTAACCCTTATCCTAACCCTAACACTTTCCCTAATAATAACATATGACCCTTGCCCTAACCCTAACCCTATCCTTAGCCCTAACCCTAGCCCGAGCTTTTACCCTAGCTCTAATCCTAATCCTAAACCTAACGCTAACTGTATACCTAAACCTAACCCTAACACTAACTTTAATCCTAACCTATAGCCCTAGCCCTAACCCTATCCTTAGCCCTAACCCTAGCCCGAGCTCTTACCCTAGCTCTAATACTAATCCTAACCTTAACGCTAACCCTAACCCTAGCTATAACCCTAAGTCTAACCGTAACCCTAACACTAACCCTAACTCTAACCCTAACGCTAGCCTGAGCTCTTACTCTAACTCTAATCTAAATCCTAACCCTAACCCTAACCCTAACCCTAACCCTAACCCTAACCCTAACCCTAACCCTAACCCTAAGCCTATCCCTAACCCTAACCCTAACCCTAAACCTAACCCTAACCCTAACCCTAACCCTAACCCTAACCCTAACCCTAACCTTAACCTAAACCCTAACCCTAAAGATAAACTAAACCCTAACCCTCACTCGAGCTCTTACACTAGCTCCAATCCTAATCCTAATCCTAACCCTAACTCTAACGCTAACCCTAACTTTATCTCTAACCATAACACTAACCTTAACCCTAGCCTTAAACCTAACCATGACCATAATCCTAACCCTTATCTTAACCCTAACCATAATACTAGCCCTATCCCTATCCCTATCTCTATCTCTATCCCTAACCCAAACCTAAACCCTAACCCCTACCCTAACCCTAACCCTAAGCCTAACCCTAAACCTAGCCCTATACTTAAACCTAACCCTAAACCTAACCATAACCCTAGCCCTAATCTTAACCTTAACCCTAGCTCTAACCCTAGCCCTAACCCTAATACTAGTTATAACCCTAACCCTAACCTAACCCTTAACCCTAAACATAAACTAAGCCCTAACCCTAGCCCGAGCTCTTACACTAGCTCCCTACCTAATCCTAATCCTAACCCTTATCTTAACCCTAACCATAACCCTAACCATAAACCTAGCCCTAAACTTAAACCTAACTCTAAACCTAACCATAATCCTAACCCTAACCCACATTCTAACCCTAACCCTAACCCTAACCCTAACCCTAACCATAACCCTAACTATAAACCTAGAACCTTAAACCTAAATCTAAGCCAAACCATAACCCTAACCCTAAACCAAACCATAACCCTAACCCTAATCTTAACCTTAACACTAACCCTAATCCTAACCTATAACCCTAGCCCTAACCCTATCCTTAGCCCTAACGTTAGCCCAAGATCTTACATTAGCTCTATATCCTAACCCTAACCATAATGCTAACCATAACCCTAGCTCTAACTCTAACTCTAGCTCTAACCCTAACCCTAACACTAACCTTAACCCTAACTATAACCCTAACCCTAAATCTAATCCTAACGCTAAAAATAACCCTAGCCCTCAATCTAAACAGGACCCTAAACCTAACCCTTATTTTAACCCTAAACCTAACTCTAACCCTAAATCTAACCCTAAACTTAACCCTAGCCTTATCCCTATCCCTAACCCTAAACCCAAACATTAACCCTAACCCTAACCCTAAACAAATACGAAATCTAAACCTAAACTAAACACTAGATCTAACAATGACCCTAACCCTAAACTTAACCTTAACCTTATCTCTAGCCCTATCCCTAACCCTAACTATAAACCCTACCCCTAACCCAAACACAAACCCTAAACCTAAATCGAAACCTCATCTAAACCCTAGCCCTAACCCTAATTCTAAACCGAGCCTTAACACTAACCCTAGCTCTAACCATAACTCTACCCCTAACCTTTATCCTAACACTAACCCTAAGCATAAACCTAAACCTAACCTTAACCTTAGCCTTAACACTAACCTTAACCCTAACCCTAACCCTAACCCTAATCCTAACCCTAACCCTAACCCTAACCCTAACCCTAATCCTAACCCTAACCCTAATCCTAAACCTCATCTAAACCTTAGCCCTAGCCCTAACCCTAACCTTAACTCTATCCCTAACCCTAATCCTAACCCAAACCCTAACCCTAACCCTAACCTTAACCCTAACCCTAATTCTAACCCCTAACCCTAACCATAACCCTAAACCTAAACCTAACCCTAACCCTAATCCTAACCCTAACCCTCACCATAACCCTAACCCTAACCCAAACCCTAACCCTAACCCTAACCCTAACCCTAACCCTAACCCTAACCCTAACCCTAACCCTAACCCTAACCCTAACCCTAACCCTAACCTTAACCCTAACCCTAACACTAGCGCTAACGCTAACCCTAACCCATAACCCTAACCCTAACCCTAAACCCAACCCTAAATATAACCAAAACCCTAGCCCCAATCCTAACTCTAACCCTAACCCTAACCCTAACCCTAACCATAAACCTAGCCATAAACTTATAACCTAACCATAACCCTAGCCTTAATCTTAACCTTAACCCTAGCTTTAACCCTAGCCCTAACCCTAATACTAGCCCTAACCCTAACCCTAACCTAAACCCTAACCTTAAACATAAACTAAACACTAACCCTAGCCCGAGCTCTTACAATAGCTCTAATCCTAATCCTAATCCTAACCCTAACTCTAAAGCTAACATTAACCCTAGCTCTAACCATAACTCTAGCTTTATCCCTAACACTAACCTTTACTCTAACCTTATCCGTAACTATAAACCCTAACCCAAACCCTAACCCTAAATCTAAATCAAAACCTCATCTAAACCCTAGCCCTAAACCTAATTCTAAACCGAGCCCTAACAGTAACCCTGACTCTAGCCCTAACCTTTATCCTAACACTAACCCTAAGCATAAACCTAAACCTAACCTTAACCCTAGCACTAACCCTAATCCTAACCCTAACCCTAACCCTAACCCTAATCCTAAACCTCATCTAAACCTTAGCCCTAGCCCTAACCCTAACCTTAACTCTAGCCCAAATCCTAATCCTAACCCAAACCCTAACCCTAACCCTAACCCTAACCCTAACCCTAACCCTAACCCTAACCCTAACCCTAACCCTAACCCTAACCCTAACCCTAACCCTAACCCTAACCCTAACCCTAACCCTAACCCTAACCCTAACCCTAACCCTAACCCTAACCCTAACCCTAACCCTAACCCTAACCCTAACCTTAAACCTAACCCTAAACCTAACCATAACCCTAACCCTAATCTTAACCTTAAGCCTAGCTCTAACCCTGGCCCTAACCCTAATACTAGCACTAACCCTAACCCTAACCTAAACCCTAACCCTAAACATAAACTAAACCCTAACCCTAGCTCAAGCTCTTACACTAGCTCCAATCCTAATCCTAATCCTAACCCTAACTCTAACGCTAACCCTAACCTTAGCTCTAATCATAACACTAACCTTAACCCTAGCCTTAAACCTAACCATGACCATAATCCTAACCCTTATCTTAACCCTAACGCTAACCATAATCCTAGCCCTATCCCTATCCCTATCCTTAACCCAAACCCTAACCCTAACCCTAACCCTAAGCCTAACCATAAACCTAGCCCTAACCTTAAACCTAACCCTAAACCAAACCATAACCCTAGCCCAAATCTTAACCTTAACCCTAGCTCTAACCCTAGCCCTAACCCTTTAACTAGCCTTAACCCTAACCCTAACCCTAACCTAAACCCTAACCCTAAACATAAACTAAACGCTAACCCTAGCCCGAGCTCTTACACTAGCTCCAATATTAATCCTAATCCTAACCCTTATCTTAACCCTAACCCTAACTCTAACTATAAACCTAACCTTAAACTTAACGATAGCCTCTAACCCTAACGGTAAACCCAAACCCTAAACCTAACCCTAATACTAAACCTAAATCTAACCTAAACACTAGATCTAACCCTGACCTTAACCATTAAGCTAAACTTAACCCTATCCCTATCCCTATCTCTAGCCCTATCCCTAACCCTAACTCGAAACCCTATCCCTAACCCTAACTCTAAACCCTAACCCTAACCCAAACCGTAACCCTAAACCAAAACCTCATCTAAACCCTAGCCCTAATCCTAATAACACTAACCTTAACCCTAACCCTAACCCTATCGTTAACTCTAACCCTAATCCTAACCCTGACCCTAACACTAACCCTAACCCTACCCTAACCCTAATCCTAATCCTAATCCTAATCCTAATCCTAATCCTAACCCTAACTCTAACGCCAAAACTAACCATAACCCTAGCTTTAACCATAACTCTAACTCTAACCGTAACCCTAACCCTAACCCTAACCTATAACTCTAACCCTAATCTCTAACCCTAACCCTAACTCTAACCCTTAACCCTTTAACCCTAACCTTAATCCTAATCTCTAATCCTAATCCTAATCCTAATTTTAACCTTAACCCTAACTCTAACTCCTAATTCTAACCTTAATTTTAATTTTAACTTTAACTTTAACCTTAACTCTAACTCTTAACCTTAACCCTTAACCCTAACCCTAACCCTAACCCTAACCCTAACCCTAACCCTAACCCTAACCCTAACCCTAACCCTAACTCCTAACCCTAACCCTAACTTTAACCCTAACCCTAACCCTAACCCTAACCCTAACCTTAACCCTAGCCCTAGCCCTAATCCTAACCTTAACCCTAAGCTTAACCCTAACCTTAACCCTAACCCTAACCCTAATCCTATCCTAACCCTAACCCTAACCCTAACCCTAATCCTAATCCTAATCCTAATCCTAACCCTAACCCTAACCCTAACCCTAACCCTAACCCTAACCCTAACCCTAACCCTAACCCTAACCCTAACCCTAACCCTAACCCTAACCCCTAACCCTAACCCTTAACCCTAACCCTAACCCTAACCCTAACCCTAACCCTAACCCTAACCCTAACCCTAACCCTAACCCTAACCCTAACCCTAACCCTAACCCTAACCCTAACCCTAACCCTAACCCTAACCCTAACCCTAACCCTAACCCTAACCCTAACCCTAACCCTAACCCTAACCCTAACCCTAACCTTAAACCTAACCCTAAACCTAACCATAACCCTAACCCTAATCTTAACCTTAAGCCTAGCTCTAACCCTGGCCCTAACCCTAATACTAGCACTAACCCTAACCCTAACCTAAACCCTAACCCTAAACATAAACTAAACCCTAACCCTAGCTCAAGCTCTTACACTAGCTCCAATCCTAATCCTAATCCTAACCCTAACTCTAACGCTAACCCTAACCTTAGCTCTAATCATAACACTAACCTTAACCCTAGCCTTAAACCTAACCATGACCATAATCCTAACCCTTATCTTAACCCTAACGCTAACCATAATCCTAGCCCTATCCCTATCCCTATCCTTAACCCAAACCCTAACCCTAACCCTAACCCTAAGCCTAACCATAAACCTAGCCCTAACCTTAAACCTAACCCTAAACCTAACCATAACCCTAGCCCAAATCTTAACCTTAACCCTAGCTCTAACCCTAGCCCTAACCCTTTAACTAGCCTTAACCCTAACCCTAACCCTAACCTAAACCCTAACCCTAAACATAAACTAAACGCTAACCCTAGCCCGAGCTCTTACACTAGCTCCAATATTAATCCTAATCCTAACCCTTATCTTAACCCTAACCCTAACTCTAACTATAAACCTAACCTTAAACTTAACGATAGCCTCTAACCCTAACGGTAAACCCAAACCCTAAACCTAACCCTAATACTAAACCTAAATCTAACCTAAACACTAGATCTAACCCTGACCTTAACCATTAAGCTAAACTTAACCCTATCCCTATCCCTATCTCTAGCCCTATCCCTAACCCTAACTCGAAACCCTATCCCTAACCCTAACTCTAAACCCTAACCCTAACCCAAACCGTAACCCTAAACCAAAACCTCATCTAAACCCTAGCCCTAATCCTAATTCTAAACTTAACCCTAGCTCTAACCCTAACCCTAACTCTAGCCCTAACCTTTATCCTAACACTAACCCTAAGCATAAACCTAAACCTAACCTTAACCCTAGCCCTAACACTAACCTTAACCCTAACCCTAACCCTATCGTTAACTCTAACCCTAATCCTAACCCTGACCCTAACACTAACCCTAACCCTACCCTAACCCTAATCCTAATCCTAATCCTAATCCTAATCCTAATCCTAACCCTAACTCTAACGCCAAAACTAACCATAACCCTAGCTTTAACCATAACTCTAACTCTAACCGTAACCCTAACCCTAACCCTAACCCTAACCCTAACCCTAACCCTAACCCTAACCCTAACCCTAACCCTAGCCCTAATCCTAACCTTAACCCTAACCCTAACCCTAACCCCAACCCTAACCCTAACCCTAACCCTAACCCTAACCCTAACCCTAACCCTAACCCTAATTTTAACCCTAACCCTAACCCATAACCCTAACCCTAACCCTAAACCCAACCATAACCCTAGCCCCAATCCTAACTCTAACCCTAACCTTAACCCTAACCTTAACCCTAACCCTAACCCTAACCCTAACCCTAACCCTAACCCTAACCCTAACCCTAACCCTAACCCTAACCCTAACCCTAACGCTAACTCTAACCCTAACCCTAACTCTAACCTTAACCCTAACCATAACCCTAACCCACATCCTAACCCTAACCCTAACCCTAACCCTAACCCTAACCTTAACCCTAACCCTAAACCTAGCCCTAACCTTAAACCTAACCCTAAACCTAACCATAACCCTAACCCTAATCTTAACCTTAAGCCTAGCTCTAACCCTCGCCCTAACCCTAATACTAGCACTAACCCTAACCCTAACCTAAACCCTAACCTAAACCCTAACCCTAAACATAAACTAAACCCTAACCCTAGCTCAAGCTCTTACACTAGCTCCAATCCTAATCCTAAACCTAACCCTAACTCTAACGCTTACCCTAACCTTAGCTCTAATCATAACACTAACCTTAACCCTAGCCTTAAACCTAACCATGACCATAATCCTAACCTTTATCTTAACATTAACCCTAACCATAATCGTAGCCATATTCCTATCCCTATTTCTAACCCAAACCCTAACTCTAACCATAATCCTAGCCCTATCCTTATCCCTATCCCTATCCCTATCCCTATCCCTATCCCTATCCCTATCCCTATCCCTATCCCTATCCCTATCCCTATCCCTATCCCTATCCCTATCCCTATCCCTATCCCTATCCCTATCCCTATCCCTATCCCTATCCCTATCCTTAACCCTAAACCTAACCCTAACCCTAAGCCTAACCATAAACCTAGCCCTAACCTTAAACCTAACCCCAAACCTAACCATAACCATAACCCTAGCCCAAATCTAAACCTTAACCCTAGCTCTAACCCTAGCCCTAACCCTAATACTAGCCCTAACCCTAACCTAAACCCTAACCCTAGCTCTAAGCCTAGCCCTAACCCTAATACTAGCCCTAACCCTAACCTAAACCCTAACCCTAAACATAAACTAAACGCTAACCCTAGCCCGAGCTCTTACACTAGCTCCAATCCTAATCCTAATCCTAACCCTTATTTTAACCCTAACCCTAACTCTAACCCTAAACCTAACCCTAAACTTAACGATAGCCTTATCCCTAACCCTAACGGTAAACCCAAACCCTAAACCTAACCCTAATACTAAACCTAAATCGAACCTAAACACTAGATCTAACCCTGACCCTAAACCTTAAGCTAAACTTAACCCTATCCCTATAGCTATCTCTAGCCCTATCCATAACCCTAACTCTAAAACCTATCCCTAACCCTAAGTCTAAACCCTAACCCTAACCCAAACCGTAACCATACACCGAAACCTCATCTAAACACTAGCCCTAATCCTAATTCTAAACCTAACACTAGCTCTTACCGTAACCCTAACTTTAGCCCTAACCTTTATCCTAACACTAACCCTAAGCATAAACCTAAACCTAACCTTAACCCTAGCCCTAACTCTAACCCTAACCCTAACCCTAACCCTAACCCTAACCCTAATCCTAACCCTAACCCTAACCTTAACCCTAACCCTAACCCTAACCCTAATCCTAACCCTAACCCAAACCCTAACCCTAACCCTAACCCTAACCCTAACCCTTAACCCTAACCCTAACCCTAACCCTTATCCTAACCTTAACACTTTCCCTAATAATAACATATGACCCTTGCCCTAACCCTAACCCTATCCTTAGCCCTAACCCTAGCCCGAGCTTTTACCCTAGCTCTAATCCTAATCCTAAACCTAACGCTAACCGTATACCTAAACCTAACCCTAACACTAACTTTAATCCTAACCTATAGCCCTAGCCCTAACCCTATCCTTAGCCCTAACCCTAGCCCGAGCTCTTACCCTAGCTCTAATACTAATCCTAACCTTAACGCTAACCCTAACCCTAGCTATAACCCTAAGTCTAACCGTAACCCTAACACTAACCCTAACTCTAACCCTAACGCTAGCCTGAGCTCTTACTCTAACTCTAATCTAAATCCTAACCCTAACCCTAACCCTAACCCTAACCCTAACCCTAACCCTAACCCTTACCCTAAGCCTATCCCTAACCCTAACCCTAACCCTAAACCTAACCCTAACCCTAACCCTAACCCTAACCCTAACCCTAACCCTAACCTTAACCTAAACCCTAACCCTAAAGATAAACTAAACCCTAACCCTCACTCGAGCTCTTACACTAGCTCCAATCCTAATCCTAATCCTAACCCTAACTCTAACGCTAACCCTAACTTTATCTCTAACCATAACACTAACCTTAACCCTAGCCTTAAACCTAACCATGACCATAATCCTAACCCTTATCTTAACCCTAACCATAATACTAGCCCTATCCCTATCCCTATCTCTATCTCTATCCCTAACCCAAACCTAAACCCTAACCCCTACCCTAACCCTAACCCTAAGCCTAACCCTAAACCTAGCCCTATACTTAAACCTAACCCTAAACCTAACCATAACCCTAGCCCTAATCTTAACCTTAACCCTAGCTCTAACCCTAGCTCTAACCCTAGCCCTAACCCTAATACTAGTTATAACCCTAACCCTAACCTAACCCTTAACCCTAAACATAAACTAAGCCCTAACCCTAGCCCGAGCTCTTACACTAGCTCCCTACCTAATCCTAATCCTAACCCTTATCTTAACCCTAACCATAACCCTAACCATAAACCTAGCCCTAAACTTAAACATAACTCTAAACCTAACCATAATCCTAACCCTAACCCACATTCTAACCCTAACCCTAACCCTAACCCTAACCCTAACCCTAACCCTAACCATAACCCTAACTATAAACCTAGAACCTTAAACCTAAATCTAAACCAAACCATAACCCTAACCCTAAACCAAACCATAACCCTAACCCTAATCTTAACCTTAACACTAACCCTAATCCTAACCTATAACCCTAGCCCTAACCCTATCCTTAGCCCTAACGTTAGCCCAAGATCTTACATTAGCTCTATATCCTAACCCTAACCATAATGCTAACCATAACCCTAGCTCTAACTCTAACTCTAGCTCTAACCCTAACCCTAACACTAACCTTAACCCTAACTATAACCCTAACCCTAAATCTAATCCTAACGCTAAAAATAACCCTAGCCCTCAATCTAAACAGGACCCTAAACCTAACCCTTATTTTAACCCTAAACCTAACTCTAACCCTAAATCTAACCCTAAACTTAACCCTAGCCTTATCCCTATCCCTAACCCTAAACCCAAACATTAACCCTAACCCTAACCCTAAACAAATACGAAATCTAAACCTAAACTAAACACTAGATCTAACAATGACCCTAACCCTAAACTTAACCTTAACCTTATCTCTAGCCCTATCCCTAACCCTAACTATAAACCCTACCCCTAACCCAAACACAAACCCTAAACCTAAATCGAAACCTCATCTAAACCCTAGCCCTAACCCTAATTCTAAACCGAGTTTAAAAACACTAACCCTAGCTCTAACCATAACTCTACCCCTAACCTTTATCCTAACACTAACCCTAAGCATAAACCTAAACCTAACCTTAACCTTAGCCTTAACACTAACCTTAACCCTAACCCTAACCCTAACCCTAATCCTAACCCTAACCCTAACCCTAACCCTAACCCTAACCCTAACCCTAACCCTAATCCTAAACCTCATCTAAACCTTAGCCCTAGCCCTAACCCTAACCTTAACTCTATCCCTAACCCTAATCCTAACCCAAACCCTAACCCTAACCCTAACCTTAACCCTAACCCTAATTCTAACCCCTAACCCTAACCATAACCCTAAACCTAAACCTAACCCTAACCCTAATCCTAACCCTAACCCTCACCATAACCCTAACCCTAACCCAAACCCTAACCCTAACCCTAACCCTAACCCTAACCCTAACCCTAACCCTAACCCTAACCTTAACCCTAACCCTAACACTAGCGCTAACGCTAACCCTAACCCATAACCCTAACCCTAACCCTAAACCCAACCCTAAATATAACCAAAACCCTAGCCCCAATCCTAACTCTAACCCTAACCCTAACCCTAACCCTAACCATAAACCTAGCCATAAACTTATAACCTAACCATAACCCTAGCCTTAATCTTAACCTTAACCCTAGCTTTAACCCTAGCCCTAACCCTAATACTAGCCCTAACCCTAACCCTAACCTAAACCCTAACCTTAAACATAAACTAAACACTAACCCTAGCCCGAGCTCTTACAATAGCTCTAATCCTAATCCTAATCCTAACCCTAACTCTAAAGCTAACATTAACACTAGCTCTAACCATAACTCTAGCTTTATCCCTAACACTAACCTTTACTCTAACCTTATCCGTAACTATAAACCCTAACCCAAACCCTAACCCTAAATCTAAATCAAAACCTCATCTAAACCCTAGCCCTAAACCTAATTCTAAACCGAGCCCTAACAGTAACCCTGACTCTAGCCCTAACCTTTATCCTAACACTAACCCTAAGCATAAACCTAAACCTAACCTTAACCCTAGCACTAACCCTAATCCTAACCCTAACCCTAACCCTAACCCTAATCCTAAACCTCATCTAAACCTTAGCCCTAGCTCTAACCCTAACCTTAACTCTAGCCCAAATCCTAATCCTAACCCAAACCCTAACCCTAACCCTAACCCTAACCCTAACCCTAACCCTAACCCTAACCCTAACCCTAACCCTAACCCTAACCCTAACCCTAACCCTAACCCTAACCCTAACCCTAACTCTAACCCTAACCCTAACCCTAACCCTAACCTTAACCCTAGCCCTAGCCCTAATCCTAACCTTAACCCTAAGCTTAACCCTAACCTTAACCCTAACCCTAACCCTAATCCTACCCTAACCCTAACCCTAACCCTAACCCTAATCCTAATCCTAATCCTAATCCTAACCCTAACCCTAAACCTAAACCTAACCCTAACCCTAACTTTTAACCCTAACCCTAACACTAACCCAAACCCTAACACTAACCCTAACCCTCACCCTAACCCTAACCCTAACCCTAACCCTAATAACCCTAACCCTAACCCTAACCTTAACCCTAACCCTAACACTAACCCATAACACTTGCCCTAACCTTAACGCTAACCCTAACCCATAACCCTAACCCTAACCCTAAAACCAACCCTAAATATAATCAAAACCCTAGCCCTAACCCTAACCCTAACCCTAACCCTAACCCTAACTCTAACCCTAACCCTAACCCTAACCATAAACCTAGCCCTAAACTTAAACCTAACCCTAAACCTAACCATAACCCTAGCCTTTATCTTAACCTTAACCTTAGCTTTAACCCTATCCCTAACCCTATTTCTAACCCCTAACCCTAACCATAACCCTAAACCTAACCCTAACCCTAACCCTAACTCTAGCCCTAACCCTAATCTTAACCCTAACCCTAACCCTAACCCTAATCCTACCCTAACCCTAACCCTAACCCTAATCCTAATCCTAATCCTAACCCTAACCCTAAACCTAAACCTAAACCTAACCCTAACCCTAACCCTAACTCTAACCCTAACCCTAACCATAAACCTTGCCCTAAACTTAAACCTAACCCTAAACCTAACCATAACCCTAGCCTTAATCTTAACCTTAACCCTAGCCCTAACCCTAATACTAGCCCTAACCCTAACCCTAACCTAAACCCTAACCCTAAACATAAACTAAACCCTAACCCTAGCCCGAGCTCTTACAATAGCTCTAATCCTAATCCTAATCCTAACCATAACTCTAGCTTTATCCCTAACACTAACCTTTACTCTAACCTTAACCGTAACTATAAACCCTAACCCTAACCCAAACCCTAACCCTAAACCTAAATCGAAACCTCATCTAAACCCTAGCCCTAACCCTAATTCTAAACCGAGCCCTAACACTAACCCTAGCTCTAACAGTAACCCTAACTCTAGCCCTAACCTTTATCCTAACACTAACCCTAAGCATAAACCTAAACCTAACCTTAACCCTAGCCCTAACCCTAACCCTAACCCTAACCCTAACCCTAACCCTAACCCTAACCCTAACCCTAACCCTAACCCTAACCCTAATCCTAAACCTAATCCTAATCCTAAACCTCATCTAAACCTTAGGCCTATACCTAACCCTAACCTTAACTCTAGCCAAAATCCTAATCCTAACCCAAACCCTAATCCTAACCCTAACGCTAACCCTAACCCTAATTCTAACCCCTAACCCTAACCATAACCCTAAACCTAACCCTAAACCTAACCCTAACCCTAACCCTAACCCTAACCCCTAGCCCTAGCCCTAACCCTTACCTTAACCCTAACCCTAACCCTAACCCTAACCCTAACCCTAACCCATAACACTAGCCCTAACCCTAACCCTAACCCTAACCCTAACCCTAACCCTAACCCTAACCCTAACCCTAACCCTAACCCATAACCCTAACCCCAAACCCAACCCTAAATATAACCAAAACCATAGCCCCAATCCTAACCCTAACCCTAACCCTAACCCTAACTCTAACCCTAACCATAACCCTAACCATAAACCTAGCCCTAAACTTAAACCTAACTCTAAATCTAACCATAACCCTAACCCTAACCCTAACCCACATTCTAACCCTAACCCTAACCCTAACCCTAACCATAACCCTAACTATAAACCTAGCACTAACCTTAAACCTAATCCTAAACCAAACCATAACCCTACCCCTAAACCAAACCATAACCCTAACCCTAATCTTAACCTTAACACTAACCCTAATCCTAACCTATAAACCTAGCCCTAACCCTATCCTTAGCCCTAACCCTAGCACGAGCTCTTACATTAGCTCTATATCCTAACCCTAACCATAATGCTAACCATAACCCTAGCTCTAACTCTAACTCTAGCTCTAACCCTAACCCTAACACTAACCTTAACCCTAACTATAACCCTAACCCTAAATCTAATCCTAACGCTAAAAATAACCCTAGCCCTCAATCTAAACAGGACCCTAAACCTAACCTTTATTTTAACCCTAAACCTAACCCTAACCCTAAGCCTAACCCATAACCCTAACCCTAACCCTAAACCCAACCCTAAATATAATCAAAACCCTAGCCCCAATGCTAACCCTAACCCTAACTCTAACAATAACCCTAACCCTAACCACAAACCTAGCCCTAAACTTAAACCTAACCCTAAACCTAACCATAACCCTAGCCTTAATCTTAATCTTAACCTTAACCCTAGCTTTAACCCTATCCCTAACCCTAATACTAACCCTAACCCTAACCTAAACCCTAACCCTAAACATAAACTAAACCCTAACCTTAGCCCGAGCTCTTACAATAGCTCTAATCCTAATCCTAATCCTAACCCTAACTCTAAAGCTAACCCTAACTCTAGCTCTAACCATAACTCTAGCTTTATCCATAACACTAACCTTTACTCTAACCTTAATCGTAACTATAAACCCTAACCCTAACCCAAACCCTAACCCTAAACCTAAATCGAAACCTCATCTAAACCCTAGCCCTAACCCTAATTCTAAACCGAGCCCTAACACTAACCCTAGCTCTAACACTAACCCTAGCTCTAACAGTAACCCTAACTCTAGCCCTAACCTTTATCCTAACACTAACCCTAAGCATAAACCTAAACTTAACCTTAACCCTAGCCCTAACCTAACCCTAACCCTAACCCTAACCCTAACCCTAACCTTAACTCTAGCCCAAATCCTAATCCTAACCCAAACCCTAACCCTAACCCAAACCCTAACCCTAACCCTAGCCCTAGCCCTAACCCTAACTTTAATCCTAACCCTAGCCCTAGCCCTAACCCTAACCTTAACCCTAACCTTAACCCTAACCTTAACCCTAACCCTAACCCTAATCCTACCCTAACCCTAATCCTTCCTAATCCTAACCCTAACCCTAAACCTAAACCTAACCCTAACCCTAACCCTTAACCATAACCCTAACACTAACCCTAACCCTAACACTAACCCTAACCCTCACCCAAACCCTAACCCTAACCTTAACCCTAACACTAACCCATAACCCTAACCCTAACTCTAACCCTAACCCTAACCCTAACCATAAACCTAGCCCTAAACTTAAACCTAACCCTAAACCTAACCATAACCCTAACCTTAATCTTAACCTTAACCCTAGCTTTAACCCTATCCCTAACCCTAATACTAGCCCTAACCATAACCCTAACCTAAACCCTAACCCTAAACATAAACTAAACCCTAACCTTAGCCCGAGCTCTTACAATAGCTCTAATCCTAATCCTAATCCTAACCCCAACTCTAAAGCTAACCCTAACCCTAGCTCTAACCATAACTCTAGCTTTATCCCTAACACTAACCTTTACTCTAACCTTAATCGTAACTATAAACCCTAACCCTAACCCAAACCCTAACCCTAAACCTAAATCAAAACCTCATCTAAACCCTAGCCCTAAACCTAATTCTAAACCGAGCCCTAACACTAACCCAAGCTCTAACAGTAACCCTGACTCTAGCCCTAACCTTTATCCTAACACTAACCCTAAGCATAAACCTAAACCTAACCTTAACCCTAGCACTAACCCTAATCCTAACCCTAACCCTAACCCTAACCCTAATCCTAAACCTCATCTAAACCTTAGCCCTAGCCCTAACCCTAACCTTAACTCTAGCCCAAATCCTAATCCTAACCCAAACCCTAACCCTAACCCTAACCCTAACCCTAACCCTAACCCTAACCCTAACCCTAACCCTAACTCTAACCCTAACCCTAACCCTAACCCTAACCCTAACCTTAACCCTAGCCCTAGCCCTAATCCTAACCTTAACCCTAAGCTTAACCCTAACCTTAACCCTAACCCTAACCCTAACCCTAACCCTAATCCTACCCTAACCCTAACCCTAACCCTAACCCTAATCCTAATCCTAATCCTAACCCTAACCCTAAACCTAAACCTAAACCTAACCCTAACCCTAACCCTTAACCCTAACCCTTAACCCTAACCCTAACACTAACCCAAACCCTAACACTAACCCTAACCCTCACCCTAACCCTAACCCTAACCCTAACCCTAATAACCCTAACCCTAACCCTAACCTTAACCCTAACCCTAACACTAACCCATAACACTTGCCCTAACCTTAACCCTAACCCTAACCCATAACCCTAACCCTAACCCTAAAACCAACCCTAAATATAATCAAAACCCTAGCCCCAATCCTAACCCTAACCCTAACCCTAACCCTAACTCTAACCCTAACCCTAACCCTAACCATAAACCTAGCCCTAAACTTAAACCTAACCCTAAACCTAACCATAACCCTAGCCTTTATCTTAACCTTAACCTTAGCTTTAACCCTATCCCTAACCCTAACCCTAACCCTATTTCTAACCCCTAACCCTAACCATAACCCTAAACCTAACCCTAACCCTAACCCTATCCCTAGCCCTAACCCTAATCTTAACCCTAACCCTAACCCTAACCCTAATCCTACCCTAACCCTAAACCTAATCCTAATCCTAATCCTAACCCTAACCCTAAACCTAAACCTAACCCTAACCCTAACCCTAACTCTAACCCTAACCCTAACCATAAACCTTGCCCTAAACTTAAACCTAACCCTAAACCTAACCATAACCCTAGCCTTAATCTTAACCTTAACCCTAGCCCTAACCCTAATACTAGCCCTAACCCTAACCCTAACCTAAACCCTAACCCTAAACATAAACTAAACCCTAACCCTAGCCCGAGCTCTTACAATAGCTCTAATCCTAATCCTAATCCTAACCATAACTCTAGCTTTATCCCTAACACTAACCTTTACTCTAACCTTAACCGTAACTATAAACCCTAACCCTAACCCAAACCCTAACCCTAAACCTAAATCGAAACCTCATCTAAACCCTAGCCCTAACCCTAATTCTAAACCGAGCCCTAACACTAACCGTAGCTCTAACAGTAACCCTAACTCTAGCCCTAACCTTTATCCTAACACTAACCCTAAGCATAAACCTAAACCTAACCTTAACCCTAGCCCTAACCCTAACCCTAACCCTAACCCTAACCCTAACCCTAACCCTAACCCTAACCCTAACCCTAACCCTAACCCTAACCCTAATCCTAAACCTAACTCTAATCCTAAACCTCATCTAAACCTTAGGCCTATACCTAACCCTAACCTTAACTCTAGCCAAAATCCTAATCCTAACCCAAACCCTAACCCTAACCCTAACGCTAACCCTAACCCTAATTCTAACCCCTAACCCTAACCATAACCCTAAACCTAACCCTAACCCTAGCCCCAGCCCTAACCCTAACCTTAACCCTAACCCTAACCCTAACCCTAACCCTAACCCTAACCCTAACCCATAACACTAGCCCTAACCCTAACCCTAACCCTAACCCTAACCAAAACCATAGCCCCAATCCTAACCCTAACCCTAACCCTAACCCTAACTCTAACCCTAACCATAACCCTAACCATAAAACTAGCCCTAAACTTAAACCTAACTATAAACCTAACCATAACCCTAACCCTAACCTACATTCTAACCCTAACCCTAACCCTAACCCTAACCATAACCCTAACTATAAACCTAGCCCTAACCTTAAACCTAACCCTAAACCAAACCATAACCCTACCCCTAAACCAAACCATAACCCTAACCCTAATCTTAACCTTAACACTAACCCTAATCCTAACCTATAAACCTAGCCCTAACCCTATCCTTAGCCCTAACCCTAGCACGAGCTCTTACATTAGCTCTATATCCTAACCCTAACCATAATGCTAACCATAACCCTAGCTCTAACTCTAACTCTAGCTCTAACCCTAACCCTAACACTAACCTTAACCCTAACTATAACCCTAACCCTAAATCTAATCCTAACGCTAAAAATAACCCTAGCCCTCAATCTAAACAGGACCCTAAACCTAACCTTTATTTTAACCCTAAACCTAACCCTAACCCTAAGCCTAACCCATAACCCTAACCCTAAACACAAACCTAGCCCTAAACTTAAACCTAACCCTAAACCTAACCATAACCCTAGCCTTAATCTTAACCTTAACCCTAGCTTTAACCCTAACCCTAACCCTAATACTAGCCCTAACCCTAACCCTAACCTAAACCCTAACCCTAAACATAAACTAAACCCTAACCTTAGCCCGAGCTCTTACAATAGCTCTAATCCTAATCCTAACCCTAACTCTAAAGCTAACCCTAACTCTAGCTCTAACCATAACTCTAGCTTTATCCCTAACACTAACCTTTACTCTAACCTTAATCGTAACTATAAACCCTAACCCTAACCCAAACCCTAACCCTAAACCTAAATCGAAACCTCATCTAAACCCTAGCCCTAACCCTAATTCTAAACCGAGCCCTAACACTAACCCTAGCTCTAACACTAACCCTAACTCTAACAGTAACCCTAACTCTAGCCCTAACCTTTATCCTAACACTAACCCTCAGCATAAACCTAAACTTAACCTTAACCCTAGCCCTAACCTAACCCTAACCCTAACCCTAACCCTAATCCTAAACCTCATCTAAACCTTAGCCCTAGCCCTAACCCTAACTTTAACTCTAGCCCAAATCCTAATCCTAACCCAAACCCTAACCCTAACCCAAACCCTAACCCTAACCCTAGCCCTAGCCCTAACCCTAACTTTAATCCTAACCCTAGCCCTAGCTCTAACCCTAACCTTAACCCTAACCTTAACCCTAACCTTAACCCTAACCCTAACCCTAACCCTAATCCTACCCTAACCCTAATCCTAATCCTAATCCTAACCCTAACCCTAAACCTAAACCTAACCCTAACCCTAACCCTAACCCTTAACCCTAACCCTAACACTAACCCTAACCCTAACACTAACCCTAACCCTCACCCTAACCCTAACCCTAACCTTAACCCTAACACTAACCCATAACCCTAACCCTAACTCTAACCCTAACCCTAACCCTAACCATAAACCTAGCCCTAAACTTAAACCTAACCCTAAACCTAACCATAACCCTAACCTTAACCCTAGCTTTAACCCTATCCCTAACCCTAATACTAGCCCTAACCATAACCCTAACCTAAACCCTAACCCTAAACATAAACTAAACCCTAACCTTAGCCCGAGCTCTTACAATAGCTCTAATCCTAATCCTAATCCTAACCCTAACTCTAAAGCTAACCCTAACCCTAGCTCTAACCATAACTCTAGCTTTATCCCTAACACTAACCTTTACTCTAACCTTAATCGAATCTATAAACCCTAACCCTAACCCAAACCCTAACCCTAAACCTAAATCAAAACCTCATCTAAACCCTGGCCCTAAACCTAATTCTAAACCGAGCCCTAACACTAACCCAAGCTCTAACAGTAACCCTGACTCTAGCCCTAACCTTTATCCTAACACTAACCCTAAGCATAAACCTAAACCTAACCTTAACCCTAGCCCTAACCCTAACCCTAATCCTAACCCTAACCCTAACCCTAACCCTAACCTTAACCCTAACCCTAACCCTAACCCTAACCCTAACCCTTAACCCTAACCCTAACTCTTATCCTAACCCTAACACTTTCCCTAATAATAACATATAACCCTTGCCCTAACCCTAACCCTATCCTTAGCCCTAACCTAACCCGAGCTTTTACCCTAGCTCTAATCCTAATCCTAAACCTAACGCTAACCGTATACCTAAACCTAACCCTAACACTAACTTTAATCCTAACCTATAGCCCTAGCCCTAACCCTATCCTTAGCCCTAACCCTAACCCTAACCCTAACCCTAACCCTAACCCTAAACCTAACCCTAACCCTAACCCTTAACCCTAACCCTAACACTAACCCAAACCCTAACACTAACCCTAACCCTCACCCTAACCCTAACCCTAACCCTAATAACCCTAACCCTAACCCTAACCTTAACCCTAACCCTAACACTAACCCATAACACTTGCCCTAACCTTAACCCTAACCCTAACCCATAACCCTAACCCTAAAACCAACCCTAAATATAATCAAAACCCTAGCCCCAATCCTAACCCTAACCCTAACCCTAACCCTAACCCTAACCCTAACTCTAACCCTAACCCTAACCCTAACCATAAACCTAGCCCTAAACTTAAACCTAACCCTAAACCTAACCATAACCCTAGCCTTTATCTTAACCTTAACCTTAGCTTTAACCCTATCCCTAACCCTAACCCTAACCCTAACCCTATTTCTAACCCCTAACCCTAACCATAACCCTAACCATAAACCTAGCCCTAAACTTAAACCTAACTATAAACCTAACCATAACCCTAACCCTAACCCTAACCCACATTCTAACCCTAACCCTAACCCTAACCATAACCCTAACTATAAACCTAGCCCTAACCTTAAACCTAACCCTAAACCAAACCATAACCCTACCCCTAAACCAAACCATAACCCTAACCCTAATCTTAACCTTAACACTAACCCTAATCCTAACCTATAAACCTAACCCTAACCCTATCCTTAGCCCTAACCCTAGCACGAGCTCTTACATTAGCTCTATATCCTAACCCTAACCATAATGCTAACCATAACCCTAGCTCTAACTCTAACTCTAGCTCTAACCCTAACCCTAACACTAACCTTAACCCTAACTATAACCCTAACCCTAAATCTAATCCTAACGCTAAAAATAACCCTAGCCCTCAATCTAAACAGGACCCTAAACCTAACCTTTATTTTAACCCTAAACCTAACCCTAACCCTAAGCCTAACCCATAACCCTAACCCTAACCCTAAACCCAACCCTAAATATAATCAAAACCCTAGACCTAACCCATAACCCTAACCCTAACCCTAAACCCAACCCTAAATATAATCAAAACCCTAGACCCAATCCTAACCCTAACCCTAACCCTAACCCTAACCCTAACCCTAACCCTAACCCTAACCCTAACCCTAACTCTAACAATAACCCTAACCCTAACCACAAACCTAGCCCTAAACTTAAACCTAACCCTAAACCTAACCATAACCCTAGCCTTAATCTTAACCTTAACCCTAGCTTTAACCCTATCCCTAACCCTAATACTAGCCCTAACCCTAACCCTAACCTAAACCCTAACCCTAAACATAAACTAAACCCTAACCTTAGCCCGAGCTCTTACAATAGCTCTAATCCTAATCCTAATCCTAACCCTAACTCTAACGCTTACCCTAACCTTAGCTCTAATCATAACACTAACCTTAACCCTAGCCTTAAACCTAACCATGACCATAATCCTAACCTTTATCTTAACATTAACCCTAACCATAATCGTAGCCATATTCCTATCCCTATTTCTAACCCAAACCATAACCCTAACCATAATCCTAGCCCTATCCTTATCCCTATCCCTATCCCTATCCCTATCCCTATCCCTATCCCTATCCCTATCCCTATCCCTATCCCTATCCCTATCCCTATCCCTATCCCTATCCCTATCCCTATCCCTATCCCTATCCCTATCCCTATCCCTATCCCTAACCCTAACCCTAACCCTAACCCTAACCCTAAACCTAACCCTATCCCTATCCTTAACCCTAACCCTAACACTAACCCAAACCCTAACACTAACCCTAACCCTCACCCTAACCCTAACCCTAACCCTAATAACCCTAACCCTAACCCTAACCTTAACCCTAACCCTAACACTAACCCATAACACTTGCCCTAACCTTAACCCTAACCCTAACCCATAACCCTAACCCTAAAACCAACCCTAAATATAATCAAAACCCTAGCCCCAATCCTAACCCTAACCCTAACCCTAACCCTAACTCTAACCCTAACCCTAACCCTAACCATAAACCTAGCCCTAAACTTAAACCTAACCCTAAACCTAACCATAACCCTAGCCTTTATCTTAACCTTAACCTTAGCTTTAACCCTATCCCTAACCCTAACCCTAACCCTAACCCTATTTCTAACCCCTAACCCTAAACATAACCATAAACCTAAACTTAACCCTAACACTAACCCTAACTCTAACCCTAACCCTAACCATAAACCTTGCCCTAAACTTAAACCTAACCCTAAACCTAACCATAACCCTAGCCTTAATCTTAACCTTAACCCTAGCCCTAACCCTAATACTAGCCCTAACCCTAACCCTAACCTAAACCCTAACCCTAAACATAAACTAAACCCTAACCCTAGCCCGAGCTCTTACAATAGCTCTAATCCTAATCCTAATCCTAACCATAACTCTAGCTTTATCCCTAACACTAACCTTTACTCTAACCTTAACCGTAACTATAAACCCTAACCCTAACCCAAACCCTAACCCTAAACCTAAATCGAAACCTCATCTAAACCCTAGCCCTAACGCTAATTCTAAACCGAGCCCTAACACTAACCCTAGCTCTAACAGTAACCCTAACTCTAGCCCTAACCTTTATCCTAACACTAACCCTAAGCATAAACCTAAACCTAACCTTAACCCTAGCCCTAACCCTAACCCTAACCCTAACCCTAACCCTAACCCTAACCCTAATCCTAACCCAAACCCTAACCCTAACCCTAACGCTAACCCTAACCCTAATTCTAACCCCTAACCCTAACCATAACCCTAAACCTAACCCTAAACCTAACCCTAACCCTAACCCTAACCCTAGCCCTAGCCCTAACCCTAACCTTAACCCTAACCCTAACCCTAACCCTAACCCTAACCCTAACCCTAACCCTAACCCTAACCCTAACCCTAACCCATAACACTAGCCCTAACCCTAACCCTAACCCTAACCCTAACCCTAACCCTAACCCTAACCCTAACCCTAACCCTAACCCATAACCCTAACCCCAAACCCAACCCTAAATATAACCAAAACCATAGCCCCAATCCTAACCCTAACCCTAACCCTAACCCTAACTCTAACCCTAACCATAACCCTAACCATAAACCTAGCCCTAAACTTAAACCTAACTATAAACCTAACCATAACCCTAACCCTAACCCTAACCCACATTCTAACCCTAACCCTAACCCTAACCCTAACCATAACCCTAACTATAAACCTAGCCCTAACCTTAAACCTAACCCTAAACCAAACCATAACCCTAACCCTAATCTTAACCTTAACACTAACCCTAATCCTAACCTATAAACCTAGCCCTAACCCTATCCTTAGCCCTAACCCTAGCACGAGCTCTTACATTAGCTCTATATCCTAACCCTAACCATAATGCTAACCATAACCCTAGCTCTAACTCTAACTCTAGCTCTAACCCTAACCCTAACACTAACCTTAACCCTAACTATAACCCTAACCCTAAATCTAATCCTAACGCTAAAAATAACCCTAGCCCTCAATCTAAACAGGACCCTAAACCTAACCTTTATTTTAACCCTAAACCTAACCCTAACCCTAAGCCTAACCCATAACCCTAACCCTAACCCTAAACCCAACCCTAAATATAATCAAAACCCTAGACCCAATCCTAACCCTAACCCTAACCCTAACCCTAACTCTAACAATAACCCTAACCCTAACCACAAACCTAGCCCTAAACTTAAACCTAACCCTAAACCTAACCATAACCCTAGCCTTAATCTTAACCTTAACCCTAACTTTAACCCTATCCCTAACCCTAATACTAGCCCTAACCCTAACCCTAACCTAAACCCTAACCCTAAACATAAACTAAACCCTAACCTTAGCCCGAGCTCTTACAATAGCTCTAATCCTAATCCTAATCCTAACCCTAACCTAACGCTTACCCTAACCTTAGCTCTAATCATAACACTAACCTTAACCCTAGCCTTAAACCTAACCATGACCATAATCCTAACCTTTATCTTAACATTAACCCTAACCATAATCGTAGCCATATTCCTATCCCTATTTCTAACCCAAACCATAACCCTAACCATAATCCTAGCCCTATCCTTATCCCTATCCCTATCCCTATCCCTATCCCTATCCCTATCCCTATCCCTATCCCTATCCCTATCCCTATCCCTATCCCTATCCCTATCCCTATCCCTATCCTTAACCCTAACCCTAACCCTAAGCCTAACCATAAACCTAGCCCTAACCTTAAACCTAACCCCAAACCTAATCATAACCCTAGCCCAAATCTAAACCTTAACCCTAGCTCTAACCCTAGCCCTAACCCTAATACTAGCCCTAACCCTAACCTAAACCCTAACCCTAAACATAAACTAAACGCTAACCCTAGCCCGAGCTCTTACACTAGCTCCAATCCTAATCCTAATCCTAACCCTTATTTTAACCCTAACCCTAACTCTAACCCTAAACCTAACCCTAAACTTAACGATAGCCTTATCCCTAACCCTAACGGTAAACCCAAACCCTAAACCTAACCCTAATACTAAACCTAAATCGAACCTAAACACTAGATCTAACCCTGACCCTAAACCTTAAGCTAAACTTAACCCTATCCCTATAGCTATCTCTAGCCCTATCCATAACCCTAACTCTAAAACCTATCCCTAACCCTAAGTCTAAACCCTAACCCTAACCCAAACCGTAACCATACACCGAAACCTCATCTAAACACTAGCCCTAATCCTAATTCTAAACCTAACACTAGCTCTTACCGTAACCCTAACTTTAGCCCTAACCTTTATCCTAACACTAACCCTAAGCATAAACCTAAACCTAACCTTAACCCTAGCCCTAACTCTAACCCTAACCCTAACCCTAACCCTAACCCTAACCCTAACCCTAACCCTAACCCTAACCCTAACCTTAACCCTAACCCTAACCCTAACCCTAATCCTAACCCTAACCCTAACCCTAACCCTAACCCTAACCCTAACCCTAACCCTAACCCTTAACCCTAACCCTAACCCTAACCCTTATCCTAACCCTAACACTTTCCCTAATAATAACATATAACCCTTGCCCTAACCCTAACCCTATCCTTAGCCCTAACCCTAGCCCGAGCTTTTACCCTAGCTCTAATCCTAATCCTAAACCTAACGCTAACCGTATACCTAAACCTAACCCTAACACTAACTTTAATCCTAACCTATAGCCCTAGCCCTAACCCTATCCTTAGCCCTAACCATAGCCCGAGCTCTTACCCTAGCTCTAATACTAATCCTAACCTTAACCCTAACCCTAACACTAGCGCTAACGCTAACCCTAACCCATAACCCTAATCCTAACCCTAAACCCAACCCTAAATATAACCAAAACCCTAGCCCCAATCCTAACTCTAACCCTAACCCTAACCCTAACCCTAACCATAAACCTAGCCATAAACTTATAACCTAACCCTAAACCTAACCATAACCCTAGCCTTAATCTTAACCTTAACCCTAGCTTTAACCCTAGCCCAACCCTAATACTAGCCCTAACCCTAACCCTAACCTAAACCCTAACCTTAAACATAAACTAAACACTAACCCTAGCCCGAGCTCTTACAATAGCTCTAATCCTAATCCTAATCCTAACCCTAACTCTAAAGCTAACATTAACCCTAGCTCTAACCATAACTCTAGCTTTATCCCTAACACTAACCTTTACTCTAACCTTATCCGTAACTATAAACCCTAACCCAAACCCTAACCCTAAATCTAAATCAAAACCTCATCTAAACCCTAGCCCTAAACCTAATTCTAAACCGAGCCCTAACACTAACCCAAGCTCTAACAGTAACCCTGACTCTAGCCCTAACCTTTATCCTAACACTAACCCTAAGCATAAACCTAAACCTAACCTTAACCCTAACCCTAACCCTAACCCTAACTCCTAACCCCTAACCCTAACCCTAACCCTAACCCTTAACCCTAACCCTAACCCTTATCCTAACCCTAACACTTTCCCTAATAATAACATATAACCCTTGCCCTAACCCTAACCCTATCCTTAGCCCTAAACCTAGCCCGAGCTTTTACCCTAGCTCTAATCCTAATCCTAAACCTAACGCTAACCGTATACCTAAACCTA